CCGCCTGCTGTGCTTCTGTCTGTCCAGCTGTCAGCTTTTCAGCTGTCTGGATGTCCAGTCTCCTGGCAGTACTGCTTACCAGTCTGGCTCATCTTTCTTGACCTCTTATTTGCATTATTTTCAAATACTTAATGACAAAAAAAATGCCCAGGATCTCATCTTAAAAACCAGAACAATACAGGTCAGAGATCAAGAAAAACCACAGGCCGACTATGACCCCAGCAGCCCTCTGCCCAATCTGCTCACCCCTTAGCTGTTTCTTTTAGTTACCGTCCCTGTGTTCCTAAACATGTTTGTCCTCTGGTTCTTGATTTTAAACTGTAAATACTGTGGGCCACAGAGCCCATAGCAGCTTGACAGGCCCCCGGCTTCAGTGACTGCCTCCCTTTTCCCGGGTTGCATAGCTTTCTGTGTACTGATCCTCTGTTCTTTCCAGATTCTCCATCAAAACTGCCACATCCCTACTGCTACTTGTTTCCAAATCTCTGTCCTCTCAGGCTACCTAATCGTTCTCTTTTGGCTTGGGGACAGCCTTCTGCAGCCCTGTGTCCCCTGTTCGCTGCTGGCCTGAGCAGCGCTCCTCACAGCACCTGTGAAGGGCAGGAAAGGGGAGGGACGGGAGTGCTAGATGGTGGGGGCGACGTGGGGGTTGTATCCTGCAGATCCAGGGAACCTTAAGCTCCCCATAGGGGCAGCAGGGAGGCTGGCTAAACCAGACCATGCCAGGCACCTTCCCACCGCCGCCCTCCCCTCCCGCAGTGGACAGCGGCATCACCCTGGAGAAGGAGCTCTCCAAAGATGAGCTGGTTGCAGTTCTGAAGCTCTACCGGGAGGCAGAGGGAGCCAACTCAGACATCGCCCAGCTGCTCAAGATCCTCTCCCAAATGGAGAGATACGAGGTGGGGAGCCCCAGGGCCTCGTCCAAAGGAGCTTAGTGCAAACCCTCCCCCACTGTCCATCCCCTCAAGTTTTTGTGTGTGTGTGTGTGGCTGTGCTGGGCCTTAGTTGTGACATACAGACTTAGTTGCCCCGAGGCATGTGAGATCTCAGTTCCCCAACCAAAGATCAAACCCATGTCCCCTGCATTGGAAGATGGATTCTTAGCCACTGGTTGTTTAGTTGCTCAGTCATGTCCAACTCTTTGCAGGCCCATGGACTGTAGCCTGCCAGGCTCCTCTGTCCATGGGATTCTCCCAGCAAGAATACTGGAGTAGGTTGCCATTTCCTTCTCCAGCTTAATCACTGGACCACCAGGGAAGGCCCCTGTCCACACAAGTTTTAGTGACTTTTTTTTTGGTAGGGGGGCACCTTTGCAGAAGCCAGAGGAGCAGGTGAGGCCTGCTGAAGCTGGGCACCAGGGCCCAGACTCAGGCGGGTCCCTATAACCTCTCCCTTCTTCCCTAGCAAAATACCTTAGTGTTTCTGGGACGGAGATCAAGGACCAAAAGTGACCTGAGCCTAAAGATGTACCAAGAGGAGATTAAGGTAGGAGCACCCCAACTGTGCTGCAATCTCCTCCTACCCGGGAGTCCTCCCCACTACCAGGTGGGGGCCAATCTCCAGTGTCCGTCTTGAGTTGTGGGGAGTGCTCAGTGGGGAGCTGTGGGATTATCTGTTGGAACCACCACCAGTGGTGTCTGGGACTCAGGAAGGGGTGCTTCAGGCCTCAGCCTTGAACCCTTGAAGCATTAGGTGGCCCCCCTATCTGCTCTTCCACATGTCACTGACCTCATCTCATTCTCATCCTGTGAGCCAGAACCGAGGAGGACACACACAAGGCAGAGGGAGCCTGGGGGGTGTGGGGGGTCCTGGCCTTCTTGCCAGGACCAGCCTCTTTGAAGAGGGGAGTTAGGAGGTGCACTGAAACTTCACACGACTTTATACAACTTGTGAACTCCAGGTTTTTCGGGTGTAAGATAAGGACACCCAGCTCAAAGGGGATACATCCCTTTGTGAACCACACAGATTATGTTCACAAGTAAAGGGTGATTACTACTACCTGGGCCTCATTTACAAAGAGGATTGTATAAAGCACGCTGGACAAGGAGGTTTGCACACCTCTAATTAGAAAGGGAAAGATTGCTCAGTAATTTTTCCACTTAGGGGAACAGTCAGCCTTCCCAGCAGGTCTGGGGTAGGGGTGGTGTTCGGTCCCATTTGGGTGGTGCTGGCAGCAGACTCCCTCCGACCACCCACAGCAGGTGGAGGGCCCAGAGCTGCCTGGCCTGGGTGACCCCCGTCAGGCTGGGGTTAGCTGGCAGGACTGGGGCGGGGACCCACTCAGCACGCTGTCTGCTCTCTCGCTTTAGGAGTGGTACGAGGAACACGCCCGCAAGCAGGAGAAACAGCAGCGACAGCTCAGCAGCTGCACGGTCCCTGCCACCCAGCAATCTCCAGGCAGTCGCCAGCGCTCCCAGACCATCACCTAAGCCCAGCCTGCAAAAGCCATCTTCTATGCAATAACACAAATAGTATTATTTTACTACAATGTATCAAAGTAATGTATGTGTATATATGTATATGTTATACATATATACACATCCATATATATATATGCACATATTTATATACAGAAAGGAGAAAAAGGCCGACAAGATAGGGTTTGGTTTATAACCGCCTTAACCCTATTTAACCCTGGAAGTCAGCTTCATCTTGGGAGCGGTCAGGCCACCAAGAGCGGCTCTTAACATGAAGGCCCCAAGAGCACTTGAATGGACCTGCCGATCTCTGTAGGTCTGGCCTTCACAGTGGGCCCGCGTGCCTGTCCACGCCGTCTTCCTGACACTGCGCTCAGAATCCTTCCCCGCCTGGCAGCCTCCCCACTGACCTGCCCTGCGGCCCCCGGCCCAGGGCTCCTGTGTCCTGCTTTGGGGACAAAACCACTTAGGAAGGAAAGAGCCCACATCCTCGGGTTGGTATGTCTCCAGATGTGATGATCATGGAATGGGTGTTCCCTTGGGAAACCAGTACTCAGCAAGCACCTACCGGAACGTGTGATCCGGGGCCATGGGCACTGCGCATGGTCAGATCTCAGCCAGCGCCCGGTGGCCAGAGATGCTGTATCCTGGCTCCATGAGCCTTCGCACCTACCATAAGTTTCAACCCTTGTTGCTGAAAATGCTTCTAAGATGGCCCATAGGAGGAGAACAGGCCAGAGGCCAGGCCAGTGGCTACCACCCCAGACCAAGTCCTAAAGTGAATGGGCTTTCTCCTTAAATCCCTTTGCCTTGGGATTGTCCTCTTCAAACAAAAAGATGTTTTGGTTAATTCAGGATTCTGCCAAAGACTGTAGCAAGTCATTCACACATGTGCGTTCTCTGGAAACGGGAACAAAAGGCATGGAAGCTGACCTCAGGTCGTCCACGGCCACCTAACTCGTTGGTCCCCTTGGCTGGCTCTGCCCTCACCTTGAGCGAGTCACTCTCCGTGGACTTGACTGAGGTGGGAGTGGGGACTCGGCTCACTCCAAGGTCTCCCCCTCCCGGGAGGAGGTTCAGATGGCCTCTCAGTTTCCCGGGGACCTTGGGCGAGTCCTCTGAGATCAGAGCGCCGCTGGAGCGTGACTGCACGGCAGGGCAGGGTTAGCAGTGGTGCAGCTGCAGGGTGCAGCATGCAGGGACGACGGGGCTGGGGGAAGAGCCCCCACTGGGCGTCCTGCTCCAACCCCAGCTCTCCAGGTGCCTCCAAGGCCTCCGTGAGCTAGGGCGGGGGCGGGGGCAGAGACTCCGCCCTCCCCTCGTTCTCTTTCCAGCGGGACAGGACCCAGCTCCCCTACCCCATCTCCACGGCCAAGTCTTCTCGACTGCGGCCTTGGATGGGCTGATCACTAGAGCCAGCATCCCATAGCTCTGCCCCTCATCAGGGGAGGAGTGGTGATGTTTCTTTTTTTTTTTAAAGCACAGCCCTTTAGGGAAACAAATCACTAAGAACCACTGAGGTTTCCACCAGGAATCAGGAGATGGACATTGTCCTCCTGATATCTGGGGAGCAACGGGCTGCCACGGGCAGCTTGACACCAGGCCCAGTCCTGGGCCCCTTCCCTGCTCCAGAGAAGGAACTTTATTTGCACAACTGGGTGCCTTTTAGCTTTTGTGTATTGAAATGGGCATTCTGGAAGCAGGAGGCAAGGGGCAGCCTTGAAAGGAGGGCATGAGTCCTCCTACCTCAGTATCTGCCCTCAGAAAAGGGGTGCCAGGGAGGCTGAGTGCACCGGCCCCCCCGCCGGGGTGACAGCTGCTACCAGGAAGAGTGGGGTTAAGTCCAGGCTTCCCAACCCTATCCTGCGAAAGGGCCTGTTTTTAGTCAGGGACAGGACGGAAGCCAAGTGGTAACAGCGCCAATGGCCCAGACTCCAGCCCACTGGCGGGTGCCCTCATCACTGAGCCTAAGGACAGCTGCCCCCGTGGGGTCAGTGGGGTGGACCCTCCAACTTGCACACAGGCCATCGAGCAGGGAGCGGGTGTCACCAGGCCTGTGAGCTCCCCCAGCTCGGATGCCCTCTCGCCTCCCACATCAGCTCAGTGACGCTGACACAGGATGCGCAGGCCTGCTCTGGGTGCCCCACCGCCTGTCAGTCAGCGTCCGAGGGCCCTGTGCCCCGACCCAGCTCTGGGAGGGGAACGCCCTCCGGCCCCTCCTCCTTGCTTCCCGCCCCTACCTAACCCAGCCTTACTCCACACCACGTGACAATCATTTTGTATCGGTAGCGGGAACGACGCTGTAAGGTTTTGTACGTCGGCGATTTGTAACCAAGAAAACCCACCGTGTCTGCGGATTTCTGGTATATTAATAAAGAGTCTCCGCTTTGTACGTGTGGCTGCCGCCTCGTGACTTCCAGCAGGCACCACTCGGTGGCCTCCACGATCGTGGAGAGCAGGGACACCACCTCAGCCCCACCCCTAGATGCGCCACAAAGTCCAGATCCACCAGGCCCAAGAACCTTTGGCCCTGGAACCAACCACCTGTCACCCTGGCCAAGAAGAACTAGTAACAGCTGGGTGTACGTTATTGTCTGTATCCTTGAAATATTTAATAATTATGTTCATTGGAAGAAAAGACAGTTGAATCCCTTTACTGCTGGCCTAAGGCATCGAGCAAACAGAAAAGTGGCTTATTAAAAAAGGGGTCACTGGCTGCCAGCAGGAAGGCACCCGGGAGTGCTCACCACCCTCCCAGAGCTTGCAGGCAGGGGAACCCCAGCCCAGGGCTCCCCCTGAGGTAGGCACAGGGCGCTGTCAAACTGACTCCTGTTTCGCAGATAGGGAAACCTCTGAAGCCGGCAGACAGTTCTAGAGGCAGAGCCTGGAGCTGCACCATCCAATACGGAGCCGCTGATGGGCCATTGCCACCGGCTGCCATTGTGGAGCAATATGTATTGTGATTAATTTCACCTTTTTCTTTTGGCTTTATTAGCATGGCGACTCAGAAATTCACAATTAGGGTCATGTCTCCTATTTCTGCTGGACGGTGCAGCTCCAAAACTCAGAACACTTTCTGTGCTGACCCGACATGGGCTATCTGCCAGGTCCGAGTCACCCTGATTCCCTAAACCCTGGTTTGGCAGCCCTCTGAGCCCTGAGACACATTGCAGGAAGGCAGCAAGGGGTGACTAACCGCCTCCAGCCCTGAACTCTTTGGGGTCTTCCCAAACCAGCCTGGAAGGCACCCAGGCTTCCCCTTCCACCCAGACCCCAACCTTCAAAAGAGGCTCTGGAGGTAATGCAAGGAAGTCTTCCACCTGCTGCCTGGGACTCTGTCCACAGGGAAGCCCCATCGCCACAGTCCCAGAAATGAGGTTTGACTGTCCTCACTGCACATTGCAGTGACCTGGAATCTTGGCAGAGTGTGTGGCCCCCATGAGCCCACCCCACCATTCACAGTCAGGGCCGCGCACGCGGGGTTCTGCAGAAGGCACTTCATCCTCCGTCTCACGGCCTGCAGTGACACCTCCCGACCACCAGGCGGACCCTGACGCAGCTTCACTCACACAGTTTTCAAGTGAATCACTCCAAATTCAGTGAGCAAGGCCACCAGGAGGAAGGTCAGGTAGAGGAGGAGCAGGCAGCAGCCGTAAAGTCGGCTCAGCTGGAAGCACCGCAGCGGGACCAAGACCAAGGAACAGACGAGGCTGAGGCCCAGGGTGCCGGCCAAGACCCACACCAACAGTCCGTCCGGCTCCAGCTGCGGGGGGAACGGGGAGAGGCTGCGTTACTGCAACCGACAGCCACACCGAGGTCTGAGGGCCCCTCGTGAGGGGCCAGGGAGGGACTTTGGGCCTCCCTGAGACGGCTCCCCCAGCTTGAAGTTCAATGTTTTTAAACCACCTGAGCGTGGACGTGCGCGTGCTCAGTCGTGTCCGACTCTTCTGCGATCCCATGGACTGTAGCCCACCAGGCTCCTCTGTCCATGGGAGTCCCCAGGCAAGAATGCTGGAGTGGGTTGCCATTTCCTTCTCCAGGGGGTCTTCCTGTCACTGAGACTGAACCCGAGTTTCCGGAGTCTCCTGCTTGGCAGGCGAGTTCTTTACCACGGAGCCACCTGGAAGTCACCTGGTACTCGGTAAACTAATTTACATATACATATATATATATATATCCACATAATATATATATATGTATGTATGTATATATATAAAATACACTTGTTGAAAAATTCTCCAGCAACACAGAAGAATAAAAGGAAATGAAATAGTCCCCTTCCCACTTCTTTCCCCTCCAGGCTTAGCACCTATCTAACATATATGGAAGGCTTAACCCTAGGCACTATGCTAGGTGTTTCACACCCACCATGCCCTTTCATCCCCTCATCAGGTACGGAGACCTTCATGATGATCACCAATCCACAGTCAAGGAAAGCAAGTATGGCTGACCCCTGAACAGCACTGGTTAGAACTGCGTGAATCCACACATGTGGATATTTTTTCAACCATAGTATCTGTATCTTCATTTCACGATGTTTAAGCCTGGGGGAAAAGTCCATGTTGGCTTAGAGATCACAATTTGTGGAATCCAAAGAGCTAGGGTTTGAGACTTCCTGCTGGTCCAGTGGCTAAGACTCTGCACTTCCAAGGCAGGGGGCCCAGATTTGATCCCTTTCACTTTCATGCATCGGAGAAAGAAATGGCAATCCACTCCAGTGTTCTTGCCTGGAGAATCCCAGAGACGGCAGAGCCTAGTGGGCTGCTGTCTATGGGGTTGCACAGAGTCGGACACAACTGAAACGACTTAGCAGCAGCAGGGAACTAGATCCCATATGCCACAATAAAGAACTGGTATAGACAAGTATTAAAAAAGAAAAACAGCTAGGGTTTGAGTCCTGATTCTATCCAAACTCTTTCAGTATCCTGCCCCTGGGCCATTCAGTTATCAATTCCTTTGCTTTTGAGACTGGAGAAGGAAATGGCAACCCACTCCAGTATTCTCGCTGGGGAAATCCCATGGACAGAGGAGCCTGGTGGGCTGCAGTCCATGGAGTTGAAAAGAGTTGGACAAGACTGAGTGAGTATCACTCTTTCATTTGCTTTTGAGGCAGAGACAGCACTATGCAGATTTGTGACATGTGGGGCGGTCAGCACCCCTAATTCCTGCATCGTTCAAGGGTCAACCATAGTACGTGACAGAGCCCAAATCCGAAGTCCAAGCTCTTACCCTCCCCTGCGTCCTCATACAGCAACGTATGTCCACACAGATGTGTGGGTACACATGTGCACCGGAAGTCCCATGTATTCCGTAACCAGACACGGGACTAGACAGTAGGTACGTGTTTAAGAGCAACCTGTTTTTCAGCCAACAGTACAGCACGGACTTCCTTCTGTGATGACCTCTCTTGATGCCCTGTGTCTTATGCAATTAACTGCAGGAGCGTTTTCTAAACTCAGCACAAAGGCAGAGGAAATGCAGACACATACTCTGCAAGGAGCCAGAGGAAAGAAACAGGGCCCCCAGGGGGGCCAACCCTGAAGTCTCATTATCTGGAGCTGTCAGGAATGAAAGGAACCTATTAAACCCCTGAGAAGTATAAACAAAATCTGCAGAGAGAGGGTGTTTACCCCTTAGAAAGGCAACTTTTCAAGCAGAAGCTATTTGGCTTATGGGCGCGGCCACTGTGAAAGGCCGGCCCACAGCCAGTTCATTACAAGTCAGCCACGCGTGTATTCAAGAACTAGTGGCCTCCTGGAGAAAGAGGTGGGCGACATTGTTCCCATGAATGACTCCATCATTCAGCTGCACATTCCAAGTGCTTCCACGCAATTGGCCTTAAAACCGTCCCTGGGCCACATGCCCCATCCCATCTTCACCCTTTTCTGGTTTGGCCTCGGAATTTGAGTCCCTGGCAATGTATATGTGTCCAAATCTGGGACACATCTGCTTTGTATGGGGTGCTGTCTGACCTGTGCAATATTTCCAAAGAGAAGAGCTCACCTAGGAATCCCAATTTCATCTCAAAAAAAGCTGGATGATCTGGCCATAGGAGGCCCATCCAAGTTACCCACACAACTGGATTACCTGCACAAAGTAGTGTTTTCAACCTTGCTGGGGACCTGTCCCTCAAGGGTCCTAACGTTCATATATCTCCAGGGAGTGTATTTTAAAATGCAGATTTCCAGCCCACCACCCCCTGGAATGTCGGGGTCAAGAGGTCTCAATGCCCCCAGGGAATTTGCAGAGCCCCTTGAATCCACACAGCCTCTTCTGCTCAGTACATTTCAAATCTGTGGAGGTTCCTCCCTTCTGGGGCTGTCGCCAACTCTCTCATCCTGGCCTGTCCTCTCCCGACAGTGGTGGGATAAGGTGTTCAGCCTGGCCCTTATCTTGTGTGTGCTTATCCAGGAAGTTGGGGGGTGGGATCAACCCATTTCACAGGTGAGGAAGCTGAGGCTTAGGGACCCTCAGAGTTCTACTTCAAAGTCCTATAGCAAGACACTTCAGTGATGAGACCAAGACACCAGTCGAGAGCCTTCCTGCCCCTTTCCCTCAAAGCCACATCTTATTAATAATTACTCCATGACTTTGCAAGGAAAACTTTTAACCCTATATGCAAAATATTTTAAAGATATGCTACAAGTCAGATGTCACACATCTAGACAAGTCCTCTCCCCAGTAAGTGTAACCTACTGAGATGTGAATGGTCTCTGCTCTGGAGCAGGGAGGGGAGGAGGAGAAGAGACCCTTATGAAGAGGCCCCTCGTTGAGTCATCTGGTACCCACCTTCACCTCCATGTGGCCCCTGGAGATGTGGAGCAGGCAGCCCAGCCCCACTCCCACCAGCATATCTGTAGTCCAGTTCAGGAAGTCTGATGGAACATAACACCCCATAACCCCGACACAACAGCCCATTGACTTTCTTTCTGATCTGTGACTGCACCCCCTTCCCTCCCCCCAAAAGCCCTGAGAGGCCTTATCCAGTTTTAGCACCTCTAAGAGATTGTCCAGTGTACATTTTGCCTCACTCTGTAAGGATCACAGGAAGTGACAAACATTTGGTGCCTGGTGAGATGGAGAAACAGAGGTAATGTGAAGTGACTGGGAAGACGGGTGGTGGAGCATGGCATGGGGGGCACTGCTCCAGCCAAGGCTCAATCCTTCCCAGCCCAACCTGAGAGCTCAGGACAGGCCACAGCCCGACATCCAGGAGCAGGGCACGGTGGGCAGTGGGCCGTGACACATGGCAGGAGGCATCTGCACACAGGTCACATAGCTGGCACATGGCAGGGCTGGAACTGGGATCCAAGACTGCCCAGACTCCAAGCCCTGCCTTTTCCATAGCCCCAGGCTGCCTGACCCTCTCTTTTCTATATAGACCAGGCAAATGAAAGCCTACAGGACAATCCGGCCCACTGTCTGCTTTTATTAATAAAGGTTTATTGGGACAGTCAGGCCCATTCATTCATGTATTGCCCATGACTGTTTTTACACTTTAGGAGAAGAGTCGAGGCGTGGCAAGAGAGTCCTATGGCCCACAAAATCTAAAATATGTACTGTCCGGCCCTTTAAGGAAAAGTTTGCTGGAATTCCCTGGTGGTTCAATGGTCTAGAGTCTGCTTGCTAATACAGAGGACGTGGGTTCGATCTCTGGTCCAGGAAGATTCCACATGCTGCAGGGCAACTAAGCCAGCGTGCCACTGCTACCAAGCCTGCTTGCTGCAACTACTGAAGCCCACGCACCCTAGAGCCCATGTTCTGCAACACGAGAAGCCACTGCAGTAAGAGGCCCGTGCACTTCAACTAGAGAGGAGCTCTCACTTGCTGCAACTAGAGAAAGTCTGTGCAGCAAAAAAGACCCCGCACAGTCAAAAATAAATAATTAGGGGAAAAAAAGAAAAAAACTGCCAACCCTGACATCTACAGACCATGACATCTATAAGAGGGAGAGATCTTCCACAAGCTTAGTGTGTGGGCACCTACTGATAATACCTCTGCCCTAACAAGATGAGTATCTGCTGTCACTGCTGTTTACCAAGCACTTCTGTCACTTCATTCGATCTTTACAACAACCTATGAGGTCAGTCCTCTCAATATCCCCATTTTACAGGTGAAAAAGCTGAGGCTCAAGCAGCTGAGTCACCTGCCCCAGGCATTCCAGTGAAAGCCCATCCCAAGGGGGAGGAATACAGCCCACCCTTGGCTCCCAGCACCGAGGGAAGGGCGACCGCAGAAAGGATACTGAAGATGATGCCACCGAAGCAGGCCGAGAATGCCATCCTCGGGTAGCCCTGGCGGGCCAGCGTGAAATCTGAGAAGACATCTGTGTGGACACAAGAGAAGGCCTTGAGCGGTGCGGGACTTCCCTGGCCCTTGTTGGTCACTAGTGCCTTCATTCTTACCCACAGTCATTCAGTCGACAAACACTGATGAATGTCTGCCTGACTGGCACTAGCTTGTCCGGGTGCTGGGGGAGGCCACATTGTCCCATAAGACACAATTCCCTCCTTAATTCTTTTCACCTGCTTCTTTCCCACCAGGGGCAACCTTGTGGGTGTGACAAGCCAGCACTAGTCTTTCACCCATGTCCTGTCCCCCGCTCACACAGTGCGTCTATGCTACATCACTTCAGTCATGTCCGACATTGCAACCCCATGGATTGTATGTAGCCTGCCAGGCTCCTCTGTCCATGGACTTCTCCAGGCAAGAATGGAGTGGGTTGCCATTTCCTCCTCCAGGGCATCTTCCCGACTCAGGGATCAAACCTGTATCTCTTGTGTCTCCTGCATTGGCAGATGTGTTCTTTACCACAAGTACCACCTGGGAAGCCCCAGTATACACAGTACCTCTGTGCAAATTAGGAAAAGGGGCCCAAAAAGGTGAGTGGAAGGAGAGCTAGTTTTGAGGCCCTTGACCCCTTGTCAGCATGCCCTTGGGCAGTGTACAACCTGACTAACCGTACTTGGCAGCTCTAACTAAAGAAGCATATATGTATTGGATTGACCAAAAAGTTCATTCTGCCTCTTCTATACTGTTGAGTGGAAAACTCCAAATGAATTCTTTGGCTAACTCAATGTATGCATGAATGCCTACCCATGCCACACCTATGGATATACTCTGCTGGTTGACTGCAATGAGCTCCATGTCCTGCCTGAACTCTGGGGAGCCATCAAGTATCTGTGCATCAGTGAGTGGGGAAGAGACTGGAGCTTCTACAGAGTCTCAGGTACAGTCCAGACCATCCCACTCGAAGCCCAGTGATGGTCACTCCAAAGACAGTAGGCAATGAGCGCTGCTGAGGGTGGATGCCCTGGAAGTCCGGCCCACATGTCATTCTGGCTGGGGGGTCGGGGGGGTGGGAGGGCAGGTAAAGAGCAGTGAGGTAGCTGTGCTCATTCCAGAAGCCCACCCGGCCCCGAGTCACCTCCAATGCTGTTCCCCCAGGCCAGCAGCGTGAGCCCCAGGACGGTGTTGCTCAGCCGGAAGACCACGCCCAGGGACCGGAGGATGTTCACCACCTCTGTGGCAGCTGCGTTGATCCACAGGGCACTGGTCAGGAAGCCCAGGAAAGCAAAGAGCTGGGGGAAGGAACAGGAACATAGCCTCAGTTCCTCAGCTATAAAATGGGATGCTCATAGTACCTACTCGTGAGGTAGTCATGAGCATGAGTTGGTTGACGCAAAGCAGTTAGAGCCTGGCATACAGTAAGTGCTCAATAAAATGCTAGCTCAGCATTACCATTTTGTAAAAAAGGGGTACATCACAGCTCTCATCAGGCTTCTAGACTATGGACCAAATGCCACCCCATCACCACAAAAAGAAACTCCATACTCATGAGCAGGTGCTCCCCAGCCCACCCAACCTTCCTCCCAGCCCCTGGAAACCACCCTGCTTTCTGTCTCTCTGGATTGGTTTATTCTAGACACATCATAAAAATGGCTTCATACAGTATGTGGGCCCTTGTGACTGGCCTGTTTCACTCAGCATCATGTTTTCAAGGTGCATCCATCTAGGAGCATGTGTGAATACTTCAAAGACGAGTAAGAAACACTGGCTAACGTTTCTCTGGGTTTCCCTGGTGGCTCAGTGGTAAAGAATCTGCCTGCCAACACAGGAGACCCGGGCTCAATCCCTGGGATGATGGGAAGCTCCCCTGGAGAAGGAACTGGCAACCCACTCCAGTTCTTGCCTGGAGAAACCCATGGACAGAGGAGCCTGGTGGGCTACTACTGTCCATGGGGTTGCCAAGAGTTGGACATGACTGAGTGACTAAAAAACAGCAACATTTCTCTAAATAATCAATTTGCTGAAAATTCAAATTCCTTTGGGTTGGTATATTCATTCAGAGTTTCTGAAAATAAAGACTAGAATTTTTAAAAGCAATAATTAGTTTAAAAAATTTAAGTAAACTTTAGGAAAAAATTCTCTGGACAAACTGCCTAAAAAATTATTTAGCGTCCTGCAGAATGGAGAGAATGGCGCAGGGGGGAACACTCCCAAAGACCAAACAATTCCACCACTGGGATGTGATCATTAGGAACTCAGGTGCTTTCTAGTTACAGTGGTGCAAAAGTCTGGTAGATCTTCAAAAAAATGAACATACAGTTCACATTTGACCCACCAGTTTTACTCCTAGGAAGAGAAAGGAAGACACCGAAGAGAAATGAATCATTTCTACACAAAAAGTCCTAAACCAATGGTCACGGCAGCATTATTCATAATATCTAAAAAGTGGGGGAAAAAAAAAACCCAGGGTNCTCCCAGTTTGGAGAGCCGAGGTTTCTTACCCAGTGAAACCTGGGGGGCTCGCTGTTGGACGTGGCAAAAAAGGTCACTGCAGCCAAGGCCGTGCCCGCAATCACCACCACAGCCCAGACGGGAAAGAGGCCACCTATCTCATAGACGCCATCTGCAGAGGGATGAGAAAGGGAGCTGGTACTCTCCACGGCTTCAACTTGGCACCTCCTCCTAGAAGCCCCCTTGGCATGATGGAGAGGGTGTGAAGGGGATAAAACCTACAGAAAAACTCAAATAACTGTTTGGATATAAGGTAGAGACCTCCTGTGTGCCCAGCCCTGTCCTAGGCACTTCAGAGAGACAGAGAAATTGAAGACATAGTGCCTGCCCTTGAGCTACTCACACTGGAAAGACAGACATGAAAAACAGACTCTCCAGCTTGGAACTAAGATAGGAATGGCTAAGACCACTCACTCCTACTATCCTTTCCCCTGTCCATGGCAGACATCACTAATCAACCATGATGCTTTGGTCCACCTGAGCTTCAAGGGAGCACCCTCCAGCCAGGCATTACCAATGGATAGGCATGGCTCCATGATATGACCTGTACAGTTGAACTCAACCTTACTAATTCTGGCTCTCTTGAGAAGTCTGCTCTATGAACCAATCCACTACAAAGTTACAAAGGTTTTAGAGGTTTCATATTAAAACACCTAAGGGAGGAAACCCTGCAGGCAGGTAGAACACTCTAGAAAGTTCCATATACCATCCTTTCATCACGTCTTAAAGACAATGGATGATTCAATTGCCCAGACACATGTAACAAGACTTTTTTTCTTTCTTTAGTCCAGTTCACAGGCTAATAACATCAGTGCACTAAGGAGAACATAAGGGGATGAATATATAAAATCGTGCACATAATACATGGCAGGAGATTTTTGGGGGGCAATTTTGACGGATGTGACTTTCACTTGCAGAGCTGGCTTTGGAACTTGACACCTGGGTGAGAGGTCCTTTCTCTGTATTTCTCAGTCCTGTGCTGGAGGAATTTCAGGAGGAGACAGGGGCATGGGGTGGTTAAGAGGGTCTTCTTGGAGGCTGAGGATGTGAGCTGAGTTGTAAATAGAGTGGGACACAACGGTTCCATGGGCAGAGGAAAGAGATGGAAGGGAAGAAGTTGAGCAGATCTGTGTCACTGAAAGTAGATAAAGACCTGGGGAAGGTGGCTGGCTCAGGATCTCAGAGATCTCGAAAGATGGCTGGGGGACATGGCCTTTTTCCAAGAGGCACTGGGGAGCCATGGAGGTCTTAGAGTGGGGGAGTGACCACAACATGTGACAAGTGGCACTTTAGAAAGATGGCTCTGGGGACTTCCCTGGTGGTCCAGTGGGTGAGACTCTGTGCTTCCACTGCTGGGGGCATGGGTTTGATCCCTGATTGGGGAACTAAGATCCTGCATGCTGTGTGGTGTGTGTGGGAAAAAAAAAAGAAAGAGGACTCTGAGGGTGGCCTTGAGAAGATAGATGGAAGTTGACAGTGAGATTGGGAGGTGAGATTGTAATGCCTGGCTGGAGGGTGCTCCCTTGAAGCTCTGGTGGACCAAAGCATCATGGTTGATTAGTGATGTCTGCCTTGGGCATGGGAAAAGACAGTAGGAGTGAGTGGTCTTAGCCATTCCTATCTTAGTTTCAGGCTGGAGATTCTGTTTTTTCATTTTGACTGGCAGACATGTCACCTCCTTGGGCAGGTGACCCCCTGCTGGGCTGACCCCTAGATGGAGAGAACCCCCTTGGGCAGGGAGCCAAGTCTGGGGCTTCTCTCTATGCAGGGGTCAACCTAGAAGCAGTCACAAATGCTTTAGCCTGAACCAGTCTTTCCCCCGCATGGACCTGCTACCACTAGACGGTGTTGGGGCAGGTGGACAAGACACTAAATATCATAGAGTCACATCTCAGGAAATGGATGCCCTCTTCAGTACTCTCACTGTAACAGATTTAAATATCTTAAGTGTACTGGAAACAAGGCTGGTTTCCTATTGATGCCGGTGAAAGACATTCCTTTCCAGTACATTGAAGTTAAAAAAAAAAAAAGAACTGATTAAAGAAAAATATCAAATACAACAGTTTAGAATGGAAGAAAAATCAAGACGTTCTTGAATGTTGAACGCTTGGGATCCCTTCTCTTGAGAAGCCACAAGAATGAATGAACCAAGTCCCTGGGGGACTGGAGAGGCAGGGCTGTCATGAACCAGCCCACTGGCACCACTAGGGGGCGCCCTTCCCATCTCTGGGGTCACACTGACCGACTCCTTCCTCCGCGACCATGTCTTCCCATAAATTGGAGGAGAAACAGAAGTTTGGCAGCCTTTTCATCCTGATGCTCATTAGCAGGAAAAAAAAAAGCCACACTCAGCCCTGTATTTGCTACCAAAATCCTACCACCACCTCCAGGAGATGCCCCTGGGTTGAGGGGCAGGAGCCCAGGGGACAGAGAGTGGACTGGGCGGCATGAGATACTCAAGTTGGACAACAGGAAGAACCTGAGCAGGAGGACTCAGAAGACGCCTGACAAGACTGGGCAGTGCTAGAGCAAAACAGGTCAGAAAAGGAAAGCCTGGGGCAGACGGGGAAGGCTCAAGGCCAGCGGGGATCACCCAGGTCACTCAACAGGCAGTGGAAGGGTTTGTGAGGAGCTGGTCAGGGGGCGCCAGCACGAGACGGGGCAGGGGCAGGGGTGCCTCTTATCAGCTTCCACCAGTTCTGCTGTTAGGAATGTGGCTCAGATTATCTTGAGAAATCCAGCCCTGGATTTTGACATCAACTCTGTGAATTTGGTAACGCAAGCAAATGCGCCAGAGGGCGGGATTTGGTCCACAGGCCACCAGCGCATCACTCCTCTCTGGAGCCAGTGTGACCAATGGACCACCGGAGGCTCGTGGCACAAGCACATATTAAGCGTCTGCTGTATGTCCAGGACAGCCGGCTGGTCCAGGGTCCCCTGGGGTGGCTGAGAAGAAAACATCGGGAATGCGCGGAGGAGGGGGTGGGCCGGCCCGGGGGCAGGGACACTCACAGGCCCCCGACTGCAGGGTCAGGGTCAGGAACAGGGGGCTGATGACCAGGTGCAGGCAGTTGAGGGGCCGCTTCCAGTTCCTGTCCTCCTTGTCGGGGTCCATGACGGGGACGGTGAGGAGCAGCAGGAACTCCACGGGCAGCTGTCAAGTGCGGGAAGGCAGGAGGGTGAAGGCAGGGAGGCCTGTGCTTGGCCGCCACGCCCCGAGCTCAGTCACTCAAGAACCAGGCTGGACATCCCCGGTGGCTAAGAATCCACCTGCCAATGCAGGGGACACGGGTTCGGTCCTGGGTCCGAGAAGACCCCACATGCCATGGGGCAACCAAGCCTGTGCGCCCTGAAGTCCGAGCTCCGCAACAAGAAGCTCCACGCTTCTCACTGCATGAGAAGCCCACACACTGTGACTGGAGAGTAGCCCCTGCTCGCCACAACTAGAGAAAAGCCTGCACGGCAGTGAAGACCCAGGACAGCACCCAACCAACCAACCAATCAACAAAAGAACAAGGCGTTACTGCCGAAGCACCCACTGGGCGCAGACCCCCAAGCACTTCTGACTGCGGCTGTAACACACTGCCACCGACCGCGTGCCAACACTGACAGCACCCTGAACAGGAACTCTTAATTTTCCTACCTTTTGGATTAAGAAACTGAGGCTCAGAGAGGCTAAGAAACGTCCCCAAAGCCACACAGCAAGGTATATCAAACCAGGATACAGGGCCAGCTCTGACGGACTTGATACCTGATTTTTCACTTCACTTGTGTTTTTAGCCAACAGCTAAACTCCTAATAACACCTGTGGAGTGCTTACCATATGCTAAGCACCAGAGCCAGTCCTTCACACAGATTAGTTCATCAAACTGTCACAACCACTGTGGCAGGCTGGATACGGTCCCCAACTCTTCAATCCCCCTCTATCTGTAACAGAACTGATCACCCCCACACTTTTGTCAAATGACGAGTCTGCAGAATATATTTCCCTGTCCCACTGATGTTGAACTTGGCCATGCCGCTTGCTTTGGCCAATGGGCTGTTGGTGAATGTGATGTGAACAGAGACATAAATTGGGCTTGGGGAGTCTGCCTTGGTCTCTTCTGCGAAGAAAACAGCATATTCCCACAGGCCCCAGAAGGAGATATGGGGCAGACCTGAACCTCAAACCAGAGTCATCTCAGAAGACTGGATGAGAATAAATCTTGTCATCATATGTCAGTGAGATGTTGGGGGCTGTTTTTCACACAGCACTACTGCAGCACTAACTTACTGATACAAGGATTCCAGAAGAAAGGCTCTATCATTATCCCCATTTTGCAGTGGAGGAAGCTGAAGCTCAGAATGGTGAAGTGACTGGCCTGAGATCATGATACAGCCAGAGCTGTCATGGGGTATAAATATTAGTTGTTCATTATCTGCCCCCTGGGTCTGAGGAGGCCTGAAAGGTATCCACACTGGAGGGCTATAAGGTGAGACCTCTGACTTTTTGGGTCTGGGTGGTGGAAAGTACTGCAGTCCTGCCTCATGGAAACCGGCCTGCTCACATCCAGACCTCAGGAGATAGGTAGCCCAGGGAAGCAGTGAGCGGTCAGAAAAGTGCTATTCTGATCTCATTTAGACTGTGACCTACACTCTCGCCTTCCCCAGTTCCCGGCTCTCAGCGGGTCAGGAGGGGTCCCTAACCTCCTCTCTCTCTGCCCTTGGGAAGATGCTCCCCTTCCTTCTTTGCAGGGAGGAGTCTGAGCCATGCTCCCTGACTCACGTTCCCCCTAGAGTCCCAGCTCATGTATTTCCCCATCAAGTCATCAGCAGAGCCCCCCACCCCACTCCCCAACCTCACTGCTCAGGAGGCGGCGGAGGGGCCACTGTCCTGTGATGTCACCAAGTCAGAGGACTGGCCCCAGGGTCCCCCCTGACCTTGAACACCTTGAGGACCCTCCAGTACACGGGCTTGGTCCTCCACTTCCTGTAATCCAGGGGGTTGAGGGCCTGCACCAGGATCTGGGCCGTGGTCTCCGGGTACAGGAGCAGTGGCCGGTACTCCTCACCTGGGGGCGCAAGCGGGGAGGGGCAGGTGTCCGTGGCTGCCTCGACCTCTGGGAAACCCTCTCCCTTCCCTCCCACCGGTGCCCCCAACCCCTGGGAAGAAGGAAAAGGCCCAGAGCCTGGTAAGGGGCGGGGAAGGCAAACCCAGCTCAGCCTGCAGTGAGAGGTGTTCACTGCCTCCTGCCTGGGCTGGGGGGTGCGGGGTTGCTGGATGGTCCCATCACCCAACTCTCCAGCCCAGTCCAGCTGGCACCCCCACCCCAGCTGGGCACAGAGTCCCCGGATTCACCATAGTCATAGCTGTTGGTGTTAGAAGACACCCGTTCCTCCTCGGAATCTGACAGCATCTCTGTAGGAGAGAGCGGAGTTTCCCATGAGCCAGGTGGGGCGCCCAGGCCCTCCCACCACTATTCTAGGGTAGGGCACCTCTGGGACCGCTTGGTATTCAGGGTGCAAGTACCCAGGCCCCCTCTGTATTATCGACTTGTCAGCAATCACCCTGTATGCTCAGGAATTCTTACAGACTCAGGAAGTCTAACTTCCAAAACATTTTCAAATGTGGTGATGGCGGCAGTAAGGTCAAATTTAATACAGCCGTCTGAAGACAAAACTCAAACATTTGCTGATTTCCACGTTGCACCTTTCAGAACTTGGAACCCAACATATTTTTCCTTTCCAGTCTGAAACTTTTCTCAAGAGTCCTCGGGATCAGAGGACCGAGCCCTGCAAAGAAAGGCTTCCCAAAAGGAAAACGGCTGTTCTCAAGTGAAGAGTGCTAGCCCTGGTTCTGCCTCTGTGCGACTCTCCAGGCCTCGTTTTCCCCTTCTGTTCCAGCCCAGGGGGCTAGGATGGGTTTAAAAGAGGGCACAGGGTACTATGTGCTGAACTCTGAAGGCCCAGCGGATAGAGAAGAGAGCAAAAAGCACGGGAGACTTCCTGTAGGGGGAGTTACTAACACCCGTGCCAGGACCTCAGGAAATGATACAGTCCAGCCCTCTGGAAGCTCACAGTCCAACAGACAGAAACATAAGCAAATTAATAACAGAATGAGGAGATAAAGGCTGTGCTGGGGTGAGTCTGAAAGCTGTGCGAGCCCAGAAGAGACACCTGGGGGTCTCTGCAGAGTTCCCTCCAGGCTGAGTCCCTAAGTCTTTTCAGAAGAAGGACACACCAGGGAAAAGGGACAGCACACGCGAAGCCTGGAGACAGCCAGGGGGAGCGTGGCATGTTCAGGGAGGTGGGGCTGGCCCTGCACAGCTGGGGAGTGGAGGCTGGGCTACGAATGAGTTTGGAGAAGAAAGCTGAGGCCCAGCACAAATGGCAACAGGTCAAGAGCAAGGTTCTCAGGCTCACACGCCAAAGAGGGCCAAGCATGTCATGGGAACAAGTGAAAGAGGCTTAGGGGAGAATTCTAGTTTCCCAACATAATCAGGTCTGTCCATGTCGGGGTTGACGACAGAGAGCACTGGGGACTGGGGTAAATGGGGGAACCATGCCTTTTCCTAAGGAAGAAGCCCCATTCAGCTCGAGACATGTAACTGTGTGTGTGTGTGTGTGCACGCGCGCACACGCTCAGTCGTGTCCGACCCTTTGCAACCCCATGGACAGTAGCCTGGCAGGCTTGTCTGTCCATGGGATTTTCCAGGCAAGAATACTGCAGTGGGTAGCCATTTCCTTCTCCAGGGGATCTTCCTGACTCAGGGATCAAACCCACGTCTCTGCGGTCTCCTGAACTGGCAGGTGGATTCTTCACCACTGCACCACCTGGGAAGCCTGTGGGTTGTGTATGTGTATGTATTTGTGAATGTGTATTTGTATGTGTTGTGTGTGTGTTGTGTACATTCATGCTGTTCATGCATTTGTGAATGTGTGAGTTGCGTATTTCTGGATGTGTGTGTGCATGTATTTGTGGATGTGGAAGCACCTGGCAGGGGGCACATTCTGGGATGTGGGAGGTGACAGTTCTTAGGAAGATCTGCCCCAGCAACAGGCAGGAGCACGAAGAACTAATGAACTTGGACAAGCAGATGATGATGAGGCTTTAGCAACACAAGCGAAACCATGGAGGGGGGACCTTGGTAGAACAAGTATAAAAAGCAGGAAGAGGAGATGGCTGGCACAGGCCTCAGGAGACAGAGGTGGCAGCTTCTGGGCACAGAGGGCGCCAGACCCAGGGGTCCTCCCGCGGGGGTCCATTCAGACCTTACCTGGAGTGCCTGGCATGGAGCAGACCAAGGATCTCCTCCGCTGCCACTGGTAGATCCAGGTGCAGAGAACCACGGTGACCACATAGAACATGTAGAAGCCCAGGTAGCCTGCAGACAAGGGCACACCATCACCAAGCGGCGTCCTGGTCGCAGGGCCCACAGACCAAGGGCACCCAGTTCCGTCGCTGGCACCTGGCGGCAGTGGCTGTCTGTGTGCCCAGCCCAGCCGGCAAAGGGCCATTTCCTGGAGCGCCCCCCCTTCCCCTCTTTGGCCCATATTTTCTCCCTACCAACCCCGCCCCTGCCTTCCCCCTGCCCGACGAATCCATCAATCAACAGTGGGTGTGATGCCTGGCACAGACAGTGGCCTCCAGGACACAGTTCAAGTGCGAAGGGCTAGTGTCCGGTCTGTGCCCTGGGAGGCCGAGCACCTGTAGCATGTGTCCCCCAATCTCTGGCTGCCCTGGGCCTGCCCACGGAGCCCCAAGAGCGAATCAGAAGGCGGCAGGGGAGGGTCTGGGGCACCCCCTCCCTGCTGCGGGCCCTGTCTCTGGCAGGACCCGTGACCTTCCGCAACTCTCATTCAGGCTGGGTGACCCCCGGTCTGGGCCTGGAACCCTCCAGCACACTCCTGGAACCCTCTGCCCCTTTCAGGGGCTCCCACTGCTGCTGGCCCCTGGTGTCTCTGCATCGCAGCCCCTCTCCCTGGTTTTTCTCAACCCTCTGTAAGCCGCCCCTCCATCCATGTCTTTGGAACCATCTGGATGGAGTGAGATGCCGCCGGGACCCTGAGGGTCACAGTCAGCATTGCGGCTGTACCGCTCGTGAACGCTGGAAATTGTGAAAACCCAGAACATCGCCCCGACTTCGCCCTGCCCTCTTCGGTGATCGGAACCACTTTCATGCCCAGGACACCATGGTTCCAAGCAGCGCTTCCATCACTCGGACCCAAAGGTGACTCTGCCCTGCAGACCAGCTGCTCCCATCACCCCCGCCCCGTGCCTCCCAGCCATCAGCCTTGACGATGACCCCGCCCCGGTCCCGCAGCCGCTTACCCAGGGCCCACGCCAGCGTGACCCTGCCGCGGTAGAGCGCGGTGAAGATCAGGAGCACGGCCGCCATGTAGAAGACGATGTCTCTGAGGAAGGGCCTGGAGGCCGCTGTGAAGGGACGCAGGATGGCGATCCCGCCGGCCACCACGGTGGTGACCAGCACGCCCGCGCCTGCAGGAGAGAAGGCCAGGCTCGGTCCCCGCGCGCCCACCTCCGGCTGCCCTCCCAGCCCCTCACCCGCAGCTGGGGCTGCTCGCTCGTACCAAACAGGGCCCCGAAGGCCAGGCCGGCTGTGCGCGGGTCCGAGAAGGCCACCAGGGCGCTGAAGATATCCGGGGCCCCGTTCCCAAACGCCAGGAAGGTGACACCATGGGGGGACATGTCAAGGGGCTCAGGGCAGGCGCTCCGGCTGGCCCATGCCCATCTCCCAGCCCCTCACACCCTCCAGCCCTCCCTCCAGGGTACCAGAACTGGACCAAAAGGATACTGCCACGTTGTGCGAAAGCTTCAGTGTGGTGGAAATGGCCGACAGGTTAGGGCAGAAGCTAGGAGGAAAGGCCAGAGGTGAGTGTTTCCATGGCGAGTGGCTCCTGCCCGGGGTCCTTCCCAAGTCAACCTCCCCCCTCCCCGGGACCCCCGCTCTCCCGCCTACGAGCTGGACATCAGGCCAGGGCCAAACTCACAACTTCGCCGCGGTGACTCCCAGAATCAGAAACAGATAAAGCAGCCAGAAAGCCTGGGCGGGGGTAGGGGGGGAAGCCAGAGAGGGGGTTAAGAGCATTAAGTCCTGCTGGGGCCACGGGCCCCTCTCACCAGCACACCCCCCCAGGACAGGGCCTCACGTAGAGGGTGATGGCCAGAGGGAGGAGGCGGGCTGGGAAGTGGCAGAAGATGCCCTCGAGGTAGTCTAAGTAGCCCCCGTCACTGCGGCAGTCAGGGTTGGTGCGGACGAAGGCGCAGCGGTCAGAGGCGTTCCGGCCACACACTTCTCGACACTGCGGAAAGGGAGGTAGGGTGGGGACATCAGAAACCACCGCCCCGTGACCCACTGGGCCAGCCCCACCTAAGCAGTGAAGACAACCTCCTTCAGCCTGGTCCCTAAAACTCCCAGACTCCAGCTGCACGCTTTCATGTTTAAAAATAAACCTGTACTTGAAATGAACACAAGTAAGTCATGAATTTGTTGTTCAGTCACTAAGTTGTGTACGACTCTTTGCAACCCCAAGGACTGTGGCCTGCCAGGCTCTTCTCCCCATGTGATTTTCCAAGCAAGATCACTGGAGTGGGTTGCCATTTCCTCTTCCAAGGGATCTTCCCAACCCAGGGATCGAACCCATGTCTCCTGCATTGGCAGGCGGATTCTTTACCACTGAGCCACCTGGGAAGCAAGTCATGAATACACATATTTAAAACAAAACAGGAAATTTCCTGGTGGTCTAGTGGTTCGGACTCAGAGCTTTCACTGCCAGGGCCTGGCTGGGCTCAATCTCTGGCTGGGGAACTCAGATCCTGCAAGTCATGCAGCATGGCCAAAAAAAAAAAAAGAGAGAGAGAGAAAAACAATATGTAATGATTTCTAAATTCTCCTTCGTCATCCCTGCCCTCCATAATCCCACCTCTCTCCTGCCATGATCAGCTTGAAACAGACATTTCTCAGTTTAATGACATTTGTAGATACATCTTAGTACAGAGTTTGTTTTGTTTTATAGAAATGGGTCTGTCCTAAAGTTCTTGTTTCTGCAACTTGACTTTTACCACTTCACAGACATGCCATTTATTAACATATTGACAGACATAATGAAGAAAGTAAAAACATTCTGAGTGATTTCTATATGCCAGGCAGAGTGCTGAGCTTAAAAGGTTACCTCAGTTAATCTAAACAATGATCTTACAAAGGAAGATAAGATTATTCTGCCCATGATACAGATAATGAGACTTAAAAGACAGTATTTCAGGGCCCACTCAGTGGTAGAGAAAGGGCTGGAATCCAAGCAATTTGAGGTTCTTCTCAATTTCCTGTCCTTGACCATTACTGTCCCATTCCTGGCCCACTGTAGTCTCAGGATTTCATACCATGGATGACTCGTAATAGAGGGAACATTTCCCTAATGATGAGCAATTGAGTGTGTCTTTCCGTTAGTGCCAACAGTCAACTTCCTTGCACATGACCCATCTGGGCACATGTGAGAATGTTTGGTCAGAGAGATTTCTAGAAGTGAAAGTGCTGAGTCAGACAGTCTTACAGTCTGAGTTCCTCCAGAAGCGCCCAAGAGACAAGGATTTCTAAGCAAGCAGCACATTCAGGAGGTGTGGAGCGCATAAGCACCAAGACAGGGAAGTGAGTCAGGGATGGGAGAAGCAACTGCGAAGGCTCGGTGGAGATGGTTCCCACCATAGGCTGGTAATCCCAGGGGCAAGGGAGCTGGGGTATTTATACACCAACGCCTATCAGTCAGCAGGTGAGCAGAGCCGGGGAGGGAGGTGCTAGGTCCCCAGCACTTCTGGCCTACCATGCTTGTAGGTGGTTCTGGAAAAAGATGCTGGTGACCTGAAGTCAACAGAAGCCCACCAAAATGGTAGGGTCAGAAACTGCCTGATGGTCCAGTGGTTGGGACTCTGCGCTTTCACTGCCAAGAGCCTGGGTTCAATCCCTAATCAGAAAACTAACATCCTATAAACTATACAGCATAGCCGAAAAAAAAAAAAAAATAGGGTCCAAAGGATATGGCAGATAGTGTCTGTTGCAGAGGGAGAAATTTCTTAAACCTCTGAGGGATTTTGCTAAAATGCCCTTCCCAAAGCTCTACCCGGGGCTTCCCAGGTGGCACTAATGGTAAAGGACCTGCTGACAATGCAGGAGACGCAAGAGACGCATCAATTCCTGGGTCAGGCCTGTACAGTGGAAGTTATGGTTTTTCCAGTAGTCACATATGGATGTGAGAGTTGGACCATAAAGAAGGCTGAGTGCCGAAGAATTGATGCTTTTGAACTGTGGTGCTGGAGAAGACTTGAGAGTCCCTTGGATGGCAAAGAGATCAAGCCAGTCAATTCTAAAGGAAATCAACCCTGAATATTCACGCTGACAAGTGTCAGAGAGGCTGGGGAGAAATGGAACCCCTATACAACTCCTGTTGGGGATGTAAAAATGGTACAGATGTGGTGGAAAACAGCAGGGCAGTTCCCCCCTTCCCAAATTAAAAATACAATAACCAGTTCTAGGTATGTACTGTACAAAGTGATGACTATAGTTAACACTGCTGGATGGTATATATAAAAGATGTTAAGGCAGTAGATCCCAAGAGTTCTCATCACAAGGAAAAACACTTTTCTTTTGTATCTATAGAAGATGATGGATGTTCTCTAAACTTACTGTCATCATCATTTCATAATATAAGTAAGTTAAAGCATTATGCTGTGCATCTCAAACTGACATGGTACTGCAGGTCAAATGTATCTTAACAAAAACTGGGGGGAAAAAAATAGAATTACCATACGATCCAGCAAATCTACTTCTGGGTATATATGAAAAAGAATTGAAAGTCAGGTCTCAAAGAGACATTTGCACACCCATATTCATAGTAGCCTGATTCACAACAGCCAAAAGGTTTAGAAACAACCCAAGTGCCCATCAGTGGATGAATAGGCTAAGCAAACTGTGGCATATCCATATGATGGAATGTTATTCAGCCTTAAAAGGGGGAAGAAAATTCTGACCCAAGCTACTACATGGATGAACCTTGAAGACAACATGCTAAGTGAAACAGAAAGTGTTTAACGCTCAGTCGCGTCCAACTCTTTGTGACTCCATGGACTGTAGTCCACCAGGCTCCTCTGTCCATGGGATTCTCCAGGCAAAAATACTGGAGTGGGTAGCCATTCCCTTCTCCAGGGGATCTTCCTGACCCAGGGATCAAACCTGGGTCTCTTGCATCGCATGTAGATTCTTTACCATCTGAGCTACCAGGGAAGTCCTAAATGAAATAAGCCAGTCACAAAAAGACAAATATTGTATAGTTCCATCATTATTTATATACGAGGCACTTGGGAGTAGTCAAACTTACAGAAACAGAAAGCTGAATGGTGACTGCCAGGGGCTGGAGGAAGGGGGAAATGGAGAGTTATTTAATGAGAAAAGTTTCAGTTTTGCAAGATGTGAAAGTCCTGGAGGTGGATGGTGGTGATGGTTACACAATGAGAATGTCTTGAATGCCACTGAACTGTTCACTTAACAGTTCTACCCCCTCCACAAGCCCTCTCTGAACTTCAACCTACGCCAAGCTGGAGGTGAGATTTCTGGTAACCTCTATCCCCTGCTTACTGGCTCTCTCTAGACACTGCACTGTTCCTTCTGCCTGGGGCACCTCCCTCAAAAAAAAAACCACTCATTCATCCTCCAATCCTCAGATGCTTCTTCCAGGAAGTCTTCCTTGACCACTCTACCCAGGACAGGGCAGATCCTCCAGTTACAAACTCTCTTCACCCCTGGTCTTCCTTTTCAAAGTGCTTCTCTCGTGTTTTGAAATCCCCCATTATTTGTAGGATCACAGATTGACTTAATGTTCACCACCCCCATCAAAGTCTCGCACACAGTTGGGACTCATCATTTTTTGCTGGACCCCAACTCACCCAGTCTTCAAAACAGACCTAGTACAATTGTTTCCACTTCACAGATGAGAAAACTGAGGCACAGAGAGGCAGAGAGACTCACCCCAGGGCACACAGCCTGCCACTGCCAGCTGGTTTCAAACTCAGCTCTGCCTGAAAGTTACTAACTGAAGCTCCCGAGGAAACAGCCCACCAGGAGCAGGGGCGGCCTCTTCCTCCTGCCTTCTTCCCCACCACCTGCCCCGGGCTCCTTCCAGTCCTCAGAGTCGGCCAGGGAGAAAGCAGGAGACACTCCCAGCCCAGCTCCTCTCCATCGTCCTGACAGCACAATCAGCCAGCAAGGCGGGTACCCCCAATTCTAGCCTCCTAAATCGCAGTCCTGCCTGCCCCCGTGCCCCAAGCTGGCCATCCCCTCCCTTGAAACTCATCAGGAGCTGAACTTAGCTCTGCCCAGGGGGCGCAGAGCTAACGTGGCTCTGCTCTGAGTCCGGGGTGGTGAATCCTCAGTCCGTCTCCTTCCCCTCTCATCCTCTTCCCTGAGTAAGTAAGGATCCCCAGGGAATCCAGACAGGGTCAAATATTTTCCACTCTGTGGGTAAGTTTTAAGGGTCAGGATGGACAGGAGAGGGTTGCAAACGCAATGCCCTGGGGACCAGGCAGATTACACAAATGTCTAAAACCACCGGGGCTGCTGGCAATGGTGGTGATGAGCTGGAGGGGGCGTGTCCTGCTGAAAGGCATCCACGTTATAAAACCAAAGGCTGCAAGGAGATCAAACCAGTCAATCCTAAAGGAAATCAACCCTGAATATTCACTGGAAGGTGTGATGCTGAAGCTTCAATACTTTGGCCACCTGAGGCGAAGAGCCGGCTCATTGGAAAAGACTCTGATGCCAAAACACTGAAGGCCAAAGGAGAAGGGGGCGAGAGAGGACGAGATGGTTGGATGGCATCACCAACTCAATGGACGGCTTGAGCAAACTGCAGGAGAGAGTGCAGGACAGGGAAGCCTCGTGTGCTGCAGTCCATGGGGTCACGGAGTCGGACACAACTTAGTGACCAAACAACCACCACCCCACTCTATCAAAAACCAAATAAAGCCAAAACCCAAACCACGGCAGCTGGACTAGCCCACGGGCTGTCAGTTTTCAATCCTATACCGGTAAGACTGGTGTGGAAGACAGGGTAGCTGAGAGGAAAGGCAGCCTGGAGTCTGAGCCCCAGCTTTGCTACCCGCTCACTGGGTGACCCCTACTGGGCTGTGTGCTTAGTCGCTCAGTCGTGTCCCACTCTTTGCGACCCCACGGACTGTAGCTGGCCAGGCTCCTCTGTGAGGGGGCTTCCCCAGGCAAGAATGCTGGAGATTATCCCCTTCTCCAGGGGATCTTCCC